ACTATTACTATTGCTGTGAAATTTCAAGTAAACAAACATTTCTTAAGAATTATGTTCTTCATTTTTTGGTTTAAAGAAAGAATATCTATGAGTATGTAGACATTAAATATGCAAAACAAGAAAGCAAAACACTCAATTAATAAACCAGGTTTCTTCAAATTACACAAAACACGAAAACTATTTAAAAGGGTTCTTCTAGTAAGTTTTAGGTACAAGACATCTACTTGCACGATCACATACCCAAATAGCAAAAAGGTTCAGATAATATTTATAATCTCACTTTGCATCCAGATTTTTTCCCAACATAGCAGACAGAATCATCTCGATGCAATGCAATCCTCCCTCATCATGCCTGCACAAGAACAACACCAAGAAAAGAAATAAGCCTCACAGCAAAAATAAAAAGAAAAATCCAACTTTTGTTATTGAAACTTATGTTACCTTTCCGGCGATGTTGTTGGACAGCCAGTCCAGACCTTCGTACAGCCCTTCGCCTGAAGTCGCGCAGGTGCTCTGAATGTACCTGTAGCATCCCATAACACATAAATTTAGAACAGAAAAGAAAGAAATTTTGACTTTTAAAACTTGTTGGGATGTTTATTTATTTACCAGTGACGCTGACGCAGGGAGTGAAGGCCAAGCTTGTCTGTGATTTCAGCAGCATTCATTGCATTTGGAAGATCCTGTTTGTTGGCAAACACAAGCAACACAGCATCACGCAGCTCGTCCTACAAAAAAAAAACCAGGAATAGTTTGTAAGTATATGAATCCAAAGATCATCTTTCTAAGAAATTCAATAGCACTGGATATGGACCTCATTCAGCATCCTGTGGAGTTCATCTCTAGCCTCAACAACTCTATCCCTATCGTTACTGTCCACGACAAAGATAAGTCCCTGAGTGTTCTGGAAGTAGTGTCTCCACAAGGGACGGATCTGAAAAGTAAGCAAAAAACTACATTATTTAGTTAAAAGATCTCCAATAGTAGTAGAGAGATTTACTTTCTACAGTTGTGGAAGACACAATCAGATAAGAATCATCAAGTTGTGATGCACAGAGATTATCATACCTTGTCCTGACCCCCAACATCCCACACTGTGAAACTGATGTTCTTGTATTCCACAGTTTCCACATTAAAACCTGATCATGGTTTTTAGTTTATCACTAGTCCCATGGAAGTAATCAATCCTAGAAGTAAATACTCATCACAATCAGAAACCAGTTGCTATGGTGTGAAACTTACCAATAGTGGGGATAGTGGTGACGATCTCTCCGAGCTTGAGCTTGTACAATATAGTGGTCTTACCAGCAGCATCGAGACCAACCATCAGAATCCGCATCTCCTTCTTGGCAAAAAGCCGGCTAAAAAGCTTGGCAAAACTCAAACCCATCTTGCTTTACTGCACAACCACAAATAGAGAATCAAAACCTAAAACCTCATCCACATTCTATATACACTACGCAATTTCAATCTCGTCCATATCAGAAAAACCTAAATTATGCATCTACATACTTATATTCTCTTTAAAACATGATCAATACCGAATCGGTCACTAAATTTAACGAAACATATAGATTTAACGAGATCAGGCTAATCCAAACTCAGAAGGTATCAGAAACAATTACGACAAGGAAATGTGGAAGCGAATAGAAGAATTTCAACAGATCCACACTATCTTAGAGCCTAAAACGTCAGATCGTATCAGAATCTGAGACATATATCAAAATCAAACCGCATTATCCATAGATAAGCAAAATCAACCTCAACGAAATCAATCCAGATAAAAATTCACAAGAAAACGAGCAAAATCTCAACAACGAAACACGTCGTGCAAACGAATCCGAAGCAAATCATGTACAGATCTACGCAAAAAAAAACAAATGAATCTAAATCGAGAATGCATGAAAGAATAGATCCAGATCAAAAGAAGCGTACCTCTGAAGAAAGTACAC